GACCTAGGAAGAGGGATCCTCTGCCCCTTCACATCAAAGATGGGGATAGAAAGGATGCCCATCCCAAACCTTGGTCTACCCTTCCTCTAGGCAATTCTACATAAGATTGCAGTTGAAAGGGCAGTGGTTCTCAACCTGTGGGTCGCGACCGCTTTGGGGGTCGAACGACCCTTTCACAGGGGTCGCCTAAGACCATCAGAAAACACATATATAATTACATATTGTTTTTGTGATTAATCACTATGCTTTAATTATGTTCCATTTGTAACAATGAAAATACATCCTGCATATCAGATATTTACATTACGATTCATAACAGTAGCAAAATTACAGTTATGAAGTAGCAACGAACATAATTTTATGATTGGGGGTCACCACAGCATGAGGAACTGCATTAAAGGGTCGCGGCATTAGGAAGGTTGAGAATCACTGCTCTAGATCAAGTTAGCAGCACAATCAGCAGAGGGACAAAGCCAGGAAATGGTTAACCCCGGGAAGAGCAGCAGAAGCCAGTTGATCCACAGCCCCTCCTGGTTGGGCAATGAGGCCTCTGAGGGCTGCCTTTCCTGACCTCCCTTTGGCGCCACAGCTTCCTTTGGACAGTTACAGCTTCCAACCTGCCTGGTGGTGGGGGTTGGGAGCTCAAGGCAGGACAGAAAGGATGAATGGTGGTGACGGGAGGGAACCATCCGGCTCTGCATTTTGGGGAGTTAGAAACACGCAAGTCCCCAGAGGGTTTGTCACCTGACAAGACTGGCAGCTACAGGAATAGATGTGAGAGGCCCTGGGATGTAGAAAAACCCTGGCAACTACTTCAGAGACCTGGAGAGCCAGTCCTGGCATCACTGTGTGCCCTTGGGAACTTTGATCACCCTCTCTGGGCCTCAGTTTCCTCATCTGCAAGACTGAGAGGAGAGACGATCACAATTTCCTTTCTTTCTTTCTTTTTTTTTGTTGTTGTTAATACTCACGCGAGGATATTTTTTCATTGACTTTTAGAGAGAGTGGAAGGGAAGGGGAGAGAGAGACTTGAGTGATTGCCTCCCACACACACCACACCAGGCAGGGGATTGAGCCTGCAAACGAGGTATGTGCCCTTGACTGGAAATGAACTTGAGACCTTTCAGTTCGAGGGCCAAGGCTCTATCCACTGAGCTAAACCAGCTAGGGAATTTTTTTTAAGTATGTTTTTTTTAAAATTGATTTTAGAAAGACAGGAAGGGAGAAAGATATATAGAGAGAAACATTGATTGGCTGCCAGGGAACGAGCCCACAACCCGGACATGTACCCTGACTGGGAATCGAACCAGTGATCTCTTGGTTCATGGTTCACCGCTCAATCACTGAGCAACACCGGCTGGGCCAAAGTTTTCTTAAATCAAAAATTGTGTGTGCCACATAATTTTTTAAAATAATTTTTTAAAATAAAAAAGGGGGTTTATAGACATCTGGGCATGACTCACATTAAGTTGGGAAACCATACTGCTGTCTGTTTTTCTGTTGCCAATAATTCATGATGTCAATTTTATGATGAGATTTTAGATGAATTAGCCTTGACCAACTGGAAATGATATAGTTACCTTTCAGTTTAGAGTCCAATGTCGTCGAAGAGGCCCCATTTAGCTAACTCAGCTCCAGCAATAGTCACCCCTGCTGTGGTGAGACTTGCACACTGAGTAGTTTTAAAAAAAACAACAAACCCTAGGCAGCCGTGAGCCAGAGGCAGGCAGGTGCATTTGGCAGCCTGACGTTCAGCTCAGGCCCAGGGAGAGGATTCAGGCCAGTTTTACCCAAGACCAGAGGCTGCTGTCAAGGTAGGAGCTGGGGCTGCAGGAGGAAGCTGAGTTGGCCCCTAGTGCTGGGAGGCGGGGCCCTGGGGAGATTGGGAGGCATTTTTTGGCTATCTAGGGAGGAAGTGGGAGCCCGAGGCAGGGAATAGAGTGGGGAGGAGTTGGTAGTGAGAGATGGATGTGCCTAATGCTCTTTCCTCCCTTCCATCTACTCCCTCTCTCTCCTCTGCCTCATGATGTGTGCTTCCTGTAGAAGAGGGACCCAGTGTCAGAGACCCCGGCTTATGATCTGGGCCCTTCCTCTCAGGGTCATACACTCTCTGGACCTTGGTTTCCTCTTCTGCAAAGTGGGGATCCTCTACTGTCTCTGTCTTCCTCATGGAGTTAGGAGAACAAATGAGAGGTGCCCAGGAAAGCACAGCACGGTACCCACAGAAGGCATCTCCATTGAACAGTTACGTAACCTGCTGCCTCAGAGCTGGGCTGCTCCGGCTCCTGTCCCACCAGGAAGCCAGAAGAGCTGGTTCCATCACTTACCTGGCAGAACTTAGTCTTACTTTCCCATCTGACAAACGGGGGTGGTGCCTATTGTCTTCCTACATCATGAAGTTGTGTTGCAAATCACAGCAGGTCATGTGAACGCCAGCGTTTAATGTATTGTTAATCATAATCATAATAACAGTACAGAAGAAAGTTCACACTCTTGGCCTGCACTTGAAGCACCTCAGCAATCTGACAATGCCCTTTATGCATAGCTGTGCATCTGGCAGGAACTCTGGCCCTCCCCGGGCTCTTAACATCCTGGGCCTCTGAGTACTCCACATCTCAGCATTCAAGTCACATACCAAGCTGACGATGGCTAAATTAATGAGCTCCTGTCTTTTTGCTCCAGGGAACTGCCAGCTCTTGGAATACATTGGGCTGTGAGTTCCACAGACTGCCACTTGACTAGCACTTAGTGCAAAAGATAGCGCGTAGTTGGCACTCCATATGTGCAGAATAAATGAACTGGAGGGGGGGGGGTTGTTGTGTCTTTTTAAAATCCTCACCAGATGATATTTTTTTCCATGTATTTATTTATTTATTTATTTTTGACAGAGTGGAAGGAAAGGAAGAAGGGAGGGAGGTCAGGAGGATGGGAGGGAGGGAGGGAACAGAGACAGACATCCACGTGAGAGAGACACATGGATGGGGAGATCAAACCTGACACTGATGATCTTGACTGGGAATTGAACCCACGACCCTTTGGTCTGTGGGCCGATCCTCTCACCTCTAACCAAGCATGTCAAACTCGCAGCCAGCAGGTGCATGCCTCATTAGGCATGTGGCCCGCCGGCCACAAGTTTGACATGCTTGTTCTAAGCCAAACTGGCCAGGGCAAGTGAATTGTGTTTTAATGTTCTTAACATACTTGCTTTCCCATTATACGTGGCCCAGGTCATCTAGTCCAGGTACCATTGACTACTTTTTTTGTTTAATTGAAAGCAGTAAGAAGTCTGAAGAGAAGTCGAGGGTCAGTGGCCCTGAATTCTTGGGACAAAAGAGCCAGGGTAGGAATAGGCAGTAAGTCAGGCTGAAAAGGGGTGGACAAAGCTTTGGAATTATGATTCCTAAATCTCAAGTTCAGTCCTGTCATTTATTAGCTAGATTTCTTGGGCTTCAGAACAAATCTCTTAGCTTCAATTCCATCATCAAGAAAGATAGATTCTTCCCTTACTGATTCACAGCAGTGGGTCAAGAACCAGATGCCACATGTGGAATCCACAATGTAAATTTTTATTGAAATGTGTGAGGTCAGAACTGTAAGGATGCTAATTGCTTGCAGATTTCTCTAGCATTTCCTAATAGGGCCTGAAGAGGGCACTGTAGGCCAGGAGTTGGGTTAGCCAGGGTGGAAATTCGCCTGCAATCCACCCCTTGGCTGCATCTCCCCGCCATAGCTTCTCCCTCCCTGCAACACATCATTGGCAAATACCCTACAACTACCCCAACCTGCCCATAATTTTTTCCCGTTGAAAATTGCAAACATCCTCTCCTTTTTGCATATTTTCGGGAGAAAAGGCTGATTTCCCTAAGTGTTGCTATAAAAGCAGAAAGACTCATTGCCATATCTATAATAAAAGTTTAATATGCTAATTAGACCGGACGTCGACCTTCCGGACAAAGCCAAAGCTGGGGCTGCAAGGGAAGCCCGGGTCCTGGGTGCCTGCCAGTAGCCGGAGGGAAGCCCGGGTCCCAGGTGCCAGAGGGAAGCCGGTGCTGGCAGCCAAGGGAAGGAAGGCCTACTCTTGCACCAATTTTGTGCACCGGGCCTCTAGCATACCATAATGGCCAGGATTGGAGTCCAGGTACAGTTTGTGACATCGTTTGCTGTCTGCACAGGTCTGTCTTGGGCACTGCCTTTCCCCTGGGAGCATTATTTCTGGGAAGGAATTTGAAATTGGCTGTCAGAGTAAAGGGTTAGATAAGAAGTAGGAATCGGGAACGAGGGTTGAATTAGTTTGTCCCGTGTCCCCAGTCCCAGAGGAGCAAGGAGCAGGTAGGGATTGCGGGGAAGGAATAAGCAGAAGAGGGAAGGGTGAGTGCTGGGGGAATTCCTGTCGCGTGGTCTTGGGCAAGTTACTTGTTTTTCTGTACAATGGGAGTGACAGCAGTAGCTTTCTCCGGGAAGCTGTGTGAGGGATAAATGAGGTCACAGAAGTGAGCTACCGAGAGCAGCCACAGGCACCGAGGGGTGCTCAGTGAGCCGGCTGTCTGGGAAAGCAGCTTTGGCACTGCGGTCTGCCGCCCCTCTGCAAGTCCAGGGGCAGAATATTTACAATGACCATCCCCAGGCAAGGAAAGAGGTCGGCTGGATATAAAGGGGGTTGGTGCACTGAGGTGGCAAAGACTGATGCTGGGAATGTGGCATTAGCTGAAGGGGCCACAGAGAAGAAGAGGCAGAAAGAATCAGCGTCGGTAGCTGCCTACAGAGGAATAGCCTTGAATGGAACCACCTTATTGACCAGTGTGGGCAGAGCTTGTGGCCTTACGCCCAGTGGGTCAAGAGGTCAGATAGGCCATGCAAGGCAGCACGTAGGACCCGGCTCCCTCCACCTCTGATTTCCCAGGCCTGCTGCCTGCTGCCATGATGGGGGGGGGGGGGGGGGGGGGGGGGAGGGGAAGAGCCAGGGAAGCAGTGGGCTCCCAGGAAAATAGAAAAGCCAAGAGCCATGTTATGGTTTCATTGCTTGCCAGTGAGATTGAAAAATACACAAAAACATACAAAGCCAGGGGCCAGCACCCATCCCATCCTCATGGCTCCCACCACCTTCATTATCCAGGGGGATCTTGCTGTCATGGAGTCCCCCATGGAGACCTAGAGAATTCATGTCTTGCCACCTAAATTCTCCAGTCCATCCTATCCCTGCTTGGTAGGTGCAAAAAGAGGCATTTGCCCTCCAGCTGGTCCTGGCATCACAGTTCTGCAGGGCATGGAGATGAGTTTGGTGTCTCTGCAGCATGGCACCGTCCCAAGTTTAAGCTGATCTCCTCTGAATTTTTCCTGCTTCGGGGCCTCAGACTGGCCCCGTGACATACTTAGATCTGAGTTGAACTCTGGACAGTTCCTCTGGCCCCTAAGATGTCACCGCTAGTCCTGGAGTGTCCTTGGGACAGGCTGGTGCTGAGCTGACAGCCCTGGACGGGGGTCGGGAGTGGTGGTGCGGGAGACGTGGCATGGGCAGTAGTGGTGAGCAAGGTGGTGGATGTGCCCAGGGTGGGAGCATCTGATCACCTGTCCCCGCTCCTGCAGGCCTCCCCTGTGTACAGCTTCAGCTTTCCCCGCAGGAAATTGGAGTAGATTCGGAAAAATTTGCACAAAGTATCAACAGTGAATGTTCGGAGTGGAATAGCAGAGGCCGTTGCATCTGGAAGGGAGATGGCTTCCTTCTGTAAGGAGAGAGTAAAGATCACTGCAGTGCCAGGGACCCTGGAGGGCGACTGGACCCAGGACAGAAGTGGAGGGGGTATGAGGAAAGTCTCCGTGTTCCTTGGCAGGCCCTTCTCCCATTTTACAGAAAGGGCAGAGTGTGAGGGAGGGCCTGTTCCCACACACCTGGCTTCCCAGTGCCCGAAGCAGGGAGGTGAGGCTGCGCAGGCCGCTGATGGCTTTGTCCACATGTAGCTGCAGCGTCTCAGATGTCTGGGAGGAGTTGGCCAACAGGGCCTGGCCGCGCAGGATGGCTTCTGAGAGCAGAGCCAGGCCCTGCCAGACTTCCAAGGCCTGCTGCTCCACCTAAAAGGAGCAGAGACTTGGAGTCAACTGGGCCCAAGCCACCCCTTATTCCTCCCTGTCAGCCACCCTCAGCACGGAGCTGAGCAAACAAATGGAAGGCGGAAGGCATGGGAAAAGGTCTGTGGAATGAATGAATGAACACATTAACATATTCCAGGCAGTCCTCATCTTTGCTACTCCATTTCTTCTCTGTCTCTATCCTTCTCCCTCCTGCCCTTATCAAGTTTCCAAAATGAGACTCCCCAAGAGGAAGGAAAAGTGAACTCACCTCCATCCTCTTCCAGGCATAGAAGTTAACCTTGGTGTCCGGGACGGTGATATTCTCACTGAAGCTGCAGCCTTCAGCACAGCCCATCTAGAAGCACAACCCAGGGAGTCAATGCCCCAAGGGCTCTCAGCCCAGCCCGCAGGCCACAGCCCCTCGGCTTTGCCCCTTACCTAGCTCCCAGGTGTGCATACAGGGCTACGGGTTTTATCAATTTTACTGGGGTTCTGGCTTCTCACCTCCAGCCTGAACCCAGGGCCAGGAATGAGTCCAGGCTCCTGGGTTTGGGAGGAGGCCCCTGAGCCCCTCAGAGTGAATTCTGTGCCATGTCCTGGGAAGGGGTCTCACCGTGACATTCTCAGCCTCCCGGGCCTCCAGGATGTACCGCTCCAGGACGCGGCTGTCACAGATGAGGCGTGGGGGGGCGCCCAAGACTGGGAGGCCCAGGGGAAGCAGCAGCAAGGACAGCAGGAGCAGCGAGGCAGGACATCCTAGAAAAGAGAGCCAGGCTTGGTGTGAGGAAGGGCGGGGAGAAGTGTGAGCTTGGAGGGGCCGGTTCACACACCCCGCTCCTCGCCTGGGCTGGTCCTCCCAACCCCGATCTTCCGAGCGCTCGGATTCTGCCTCCTGCGCCTTCATTCAATCCTGCGGCCGAGCGCACACCCCACCCCCCAGCTACCGGCTCCGCTCCTGGGGCCAAACTTCAATCCGGCTGAGCCAGAGGCTTCCCCTCTCGCAGATCCCGCTGGTGGCTCCAGGACGCAGGTAGCAGCTTCCTCCCCACCCACATAGCAGCTCTTCCTTCCCTCGAGCCCCCAAACCTCGTCCGCGTCTCCAGGTCACTTTCCGCCTTTCCCGGGGACTCCCCAAGCCCGGCCGACACGTGGAGGCTGCCCCACCCCCTTTGCCCTTCCGGGGTCCCTCGGCAAGTCGTGGGTCCTTGAACCCAGCCACTGCTGGGCCAGCAGTCCTGGCGGTAAATCCCTTCTCAAACAGGGGCCGGGGCGGGAGCTCCCCTGCGGGCGACACTCACCGCGCGCCCCCATCTCCGTGCCCTGCCGGGCCGTTCAGCGACCAGGGGCTCGCCCGGCGCCTGTGCCCCGAGCCCTCATCCCGGGAAACTCGATGGGGCTGGGCCACCCCACAGGCCGGAGGAGGGGGCTCCCTGTCCAGGGGCTGCCGAGCCGGGGGTCGGGCTGAGCAAGCGCAGGGCCAGCGTCCGGGAAGACGTGCGGCGAGGCGACCGGCCGGCGTTGGCCCGGGGACTGCGGCTGCGGCCGGGGGTCGGGGCTGTTATCTGCATGTGTGCGTGCGTGTGTGGGGGTGGGGGGAGGCTGTGTGCGTGAGTGGTCGCCCGGGGTGGGGGCCATGAGGTCAGAGCCGGGGGCAGGACGCCTGGGTCGCGGGTTCGCCGGGGCGGGAGCGGCGCGGCGCGGCAGGAGCGGGTGCAGGAGTACCCGTCTGCCCGCCTGACCCCGGTTCCGGGGGTGCAGCTGGGTGTGCACCAGCGGGATGGGCAGGCCGCCTGCGCCTGGAAGGAGGGCCACTCTGGGAAAGGCGAGGGGCCCCCGCGCCTCCCTGGGGGGCACTCAGGTCGTGCGCGGGGGCTCAGAGCTGGAAGTGCCTAGGTTTCTGCGAAGGCGCGCTGGATCGGGAAGCCCGGAAGGTGCTGGCAGGGACGAGTCAGCTGCCTTTCTTCTCACCGCCCCTGGAATTGTTCTAGAACCTAGAACCAGTGTTGTTCGTGTTGAGGAATTTGATGGCGTAGGGAGCAAGAAATGTGGGGGTCGTCTCCCCACTCCTCACTTTCTAGGACCCTGAAAAGCCAGGAATTGAACTTTTAGGGCACAAATCACATGGTATGCTCTGCAGGACACACATGACCTGCGACATCGTTTCTTTGTCCTGTGACACAGGCCAGCCTGTGTGGCAGAATTCTGAGGAACTCGGAATAAAGCTAACCCCCAGAGCGGTGGCAGCTGGGATTTGCAGCTACTCCTTTGTGAATTGTAGGAAGCCCTGAGGCAGGGAGGTGGCTTTTGGAGAGCAATCTTACTAAAGCCGGGACCAAGGCTGGCTGGCTCTCAAACCTTAGAAAATGGCCTCAGCCCCTGAGCCTGTGTCCTCACCTGTCAAATGGGTACAAGGCAAGTACCAGGCCTACCTCGTGCAGGTTTCATAAGACAGCAAAGTCCTACAGGTAGTTCCTTCACTCCCTACCTGGTCTCATGATATTAGAAATATTTTATTCATGTGTTCAGTGCCTTCTTTATGCAAGACACTTGACTACACACTTTGCAAGACAAAAAGATGTGCTGAGACTGAGCTCCTGTCTCCTGGATGGAGTTAGCAGCTTACCGTAGAGATAAGGTGTGCACACGGGGCAGTGTGGGAGGACTGCAGTGCACGGAGCTGAGCTGTAAGAGTTTGGAAGAGCGTGAGCTCCTGTGGGGGAAGTCAAGGAAGCGGCAGTGGAGGAGTTGACAATGAGCTCAGCCTTGAGGGGCAGGGAGGATTTCAACAGGAAAAGATGTGAGGTGGGTGTGGGAGGCTAATTAAGCAAAGTGAAAGGAGGGTCGGGGCCTGGGGTACGGAAAGGAGAGGTAGGGCTCAGACCAGAGTGCTGGTTAGGGAGGGGTCAGGTTCCTTGAATGCCACTCTAAGGAATTTGGCTTTTGTTGGGAAATGTTCATTCATTCAAGAAATATTTGTTTCACCCGGCTGGTATGGCTCAGTGGTTGAACACTGACCTATGAACCAGGAGGTCATGGTTCCATTCCCAGTTAGGGCACATGCCCGGGTTTTGGGCTCGATGCCTATTAAGGGGCCGGCAGAAGGCAACCAATTATGATGTTTCTCTCTCATCGATGCTTCTATCTCTCTATCCCTCTCCCTTCCTTTCTCTCTAAAAATCCTTATTTTTTTTTAAAGAAATATTTGTTTCTTCAAGAAATGAATATTCAGTCTTGGGCGGGTTGGTTGGAGCGTCATCCCATACACCAAAAGGTTGTGGGTTCAATTCCTGATCAGGACACATACTTCGGTTGCAGGAGGCAACTGATTGATGTTTTTCTCTCAGATATTTCTCTCTCTCTCTCTCCTCCCGCCCTTCCTCTCTCTCTAAAAATCAGTGGAGCTAGGCTGGCGTGGCTCAGTGGTTGATCATCGACCTATGAACCAGGAGGTTACAGTTTGATGCCCGGTCAAGGGCACATGCCCAGGTTGCAGGTTCGATCCCCCGTATGGGGCATGCAGGAGGTACCCGATCAATGATTCTCTCTCATCACTGATGTTTCTATCTCTCTCCTTCTCTCTTCCTCTCTGAAATCAATAAAAAATATATATATTAAAAAAAGGAAAAAAATGATTCTCTCATCATTGATGTTTTTATTTCTCTCTCCTTCTCCCTTCTTCTCTGAAATCAATAAAAATATATTTTCAAAAAATAAATAAATAAAAATCAGTGGAAACATATCCTCAGTAAGAAAATTTTTAAAAATGAAATAAATATTCATTCATTCAAGAAATCTACATATAAATACCTACTCTTGGCCAGGACCTGGGGATAGAGCAGTGCATGAAACAGACAAGAATGCCTGCCCTGGTGGAGCTAATATTCTAGTAGAGGCAGACGGCAAACACAAATATGAATAAAAGAGGATCTCCAATGGCAATAAGGACTAAGAACAGGCACAGAATGGGGGACAGGAGTGTTAGAAGAGGCTGCAATTTTAGATCAGGCAAGCAGAGACACATGCTGAGGTGACCTGAATGAAGAAGACCTGAATAAGGTGAGGGGAGACATAAGGGGGTGGGGGGAGAGCATGATCAAAGAGGGTTCAGAAAGATGGAGAGGTTGCCGTGTTTCTGGCGGAAGTAATGAGGACCTGACTCGCTCCCACTCTGCTCTCCTGCTCTCGACTCACCTCGAGCCTACATTGGGAGCCCTCCTTGAGCCAGGTGTACTGGATGTGGGTCTGCACGCCCCACTATGCCCTCTGATCCCAGTTTCCCTCTCAGCACCAGGCAGACTCCCAGCCCCTCTTGGCCTTCAGAACCTAGTTCTGCTTCCTTCCCAGATCCCAGCTGTGAGACAAGCACATGCACACTCACGTCCAAACACGTCCGCACATGTGTTCTGTCCCTAACCCCCAACCCCCAGGCTCTTTCTCTCAGTCTTCAACTCCCGACTCCTGCGTCACTGTCCTGACCTGACCACGAAGAGACCAGGAACAGATGGAGGGGGGGTGGGGGTGGGGGGACACAGCCTGAAGAGAGGGAGGAGAGGAGGAGCCTCTTGGGCTGTGGGGCCTGCTCCTCCCTCCCCTCTGACAGCAATTTGTCAGAGGCCCTTACCTTCAAGAAAGGAAGGAAGATGGGTCATGAGCACAGGTGCTGGGCCTTCTGGACAGAGGTGGTGCTGGCTCATCCTCTGTGGCTTCCAAAGTGAAAGCTATGATAGCAGCTTGGGAGAGAGGGTAGAGGAGAGGATCTTGGTCCACCCCACACCCAATCCCTAAACTGTGGAATTCTGCTAGGAGGGCAGAGCCTGGTTCAAAGGACAACTTCAACCCAGGTGTTCTTGGGTACCGCCCAGCAGGGTCCACCTATCTGTCTTCATCAGGGAACCCTGAGGATAAGGAAGAAAACAGGAAGCTACCTGGGGCTCTCCCTCCAACATTCCCCATTCACCATCTCCTGCCCAGCACCCCCTCCATCTTCCTGCTTCTATTCCTCTGGCATGGTGCTGACTCAGTCCCAGGACCACTGCAGGCTCCTCACTGACCCCTCCAGTTACCCCCCAACCCTGCCATTAGACTGCCTTTCTTATGGAATAGCCTCATTTGAGTCACTCCCCTGAGCAGGAATCTGCAATGGCTCTTGGTTGCCTCCGAACTAAGACCCTCTGTGTTCTGCCATCCAACTACCCTCCAGCCTGTTCTCCCACTTTGTTCATCACACAGCACAGTTAGATGATTTTCAGCTTCCTGCCCTTTGCTCAACCTATGCCCTCCACCTGATCACCTGCCCACACTCTCGCCCCTGTTCTTCAAAGACCAAACCCAAGCATTACCTCCTCTTGAAACCTTCCCTGTCCCCCAGCAGGAAGTTGTCTCCTTCCTCTGTGCTGCCATCTGTGTATGTCTCAGGTCTCTCACTAGCAGGGCCACCATGTACAACTGTCAAGGCTGAGCACTGCACAACTCCAGGGGGTGCCATTCATAGACTCTAATGGGAATGGTACTCTCTGGAGTGCCTGTGCATCAGAGCAGAGAGCGAAGGACAGTGTCTGACAGGCCTTGTTCACGTTGGTACTCATGAGGCACTGAACATGTTTCCTGTTTATGCTATCACTTATGTGTGGCTTGCATTATGTGGTCCCTCCACTCCAGACACCTCAGCCAGAGATTGACACAGAGAGGGGAAGCAGGCCTTCCATCCTCAGAGTGCTTGCCAGAGCCATGCCTGGACAACCTAGCTCTGGGATCTTGGGAGCTTGAGAGGCCTCGCTCCACTTCCTGTGAAGACAGCCACTGAGGCAGGATCTGAAGAGGGACGGTTGTGACCAGAGGATGACGGGGGTGGAGACAGGCTCTGTTCCATGAAATCTTCCTGGCAGCCAATCCAGATTGAAAATCCAAGGAGAAGCAAATTTACAGCCCCCCCGAGCTGTCCCAGACCCCAGGCAGCATGAAGCCCCAGCTGCCTGGATTGGGGTTGGGGATAAGGGGGAGTGGAGGGAGGGCTCTGGGCCCCTCCTGCCCTGCCTTCCAAGCAGTTGCTTCTCAGCTTGACTCTCAGCCAGTGGCCCAGAAGACCTTCTGTGCTGGGAAGTGAGGTGGCTGAGGAAGGGGTGGGGGAGGGCTTCCTGGCCCTTGGGAAACTGGAAAGGGAGCAAGAATGCTGGAGAAGGGATTCCTGCTGGAGAAAGAAAATCCTGTGCAAAGATGAACTTGGGGAAATTGAGGCAAGGGCTGCTTTCTTGGCCACAAGTAGCCAGAACAGATCCAGGTTTTTGTTCTCCGCAAGCAGCCCTGTAACCTAACGACCTAAAAGAGTAGTTCAGCCCTGACCGGTTTGGCTCAGTGGATAGAGCGCCAGCCCGCGGACTCAAGGGTCCCGGGTTCAATTCCAGTCAAGGGCATGTACCTTGGTTGCAGGCACATCCCCAGTGGGGGGTGTGCAGGAGGCAGCTGACTGATGTTTCTCTCTCATCGATGTTTCTAACTCTCTATCCCTCTCCCTTCCTCTCTGTAAAAAATCAATAAAATATATTTAAAAATAAATAAAATAAAAGGGTAGTTCAGTAAACAAGGGAGCCCAGATTGGTGGCCTGAGCTCTGCCACTTACTAGCTGCCACCGACTTATGACTTTATCTCTGAGCCTTGTTTCTATAGAATGGGGTGGTGAAAATCATAGCAATCCCTTCCCAGGGCTGTGGCGGGACTGTGTAATACCTGGCATAGGGTGATCAACAAATGCTAACTGTGATTTCTGTGCCCTCTGCTCTATTATACCAGCTACTTGTTCTCACTTTGGAGGCCTGGAGACCAAACCCCCAGCATATTCTCTGACCTTCCTCCAACATCTTTTACTGTTCCCTCTGGGGAGCTGGGCACGTTGACTGCACTTGGGAGACACTTGCCCCTGAATACAACTGAGTGAAATGGAGTCACTGTGGGAGTTGGAGATGGGTTAAGACACAGATATCAAGACAAGACTCAAACTTTGTTTACTCAAAGTAGGGCCAACCAAGAATTTCTTGCCCCATCAATGTGGGTCCCCAAAGAAGCTCAAAGCCCTTGGACTGAGTGAGGCCTGGGGGCCCACTCGAGATAAGCACTATGAGGCCACCTTTCTCAGTTACTTGCCTCTTGAATCCCCCAAGCACTTGAGTCCTTACAGCAGGGCTCCCAGAGCACCAATACCTCTATCTCGAGCTCCAGAACCACTTCCTTCAGTTAGGTTTCTGTGAAAAGTGTCAGCCCAATCCTAGGATCTCTAGCTCACCAGCATCGCTGAATATTCCTAAGCCCCTTCCCACATCACCCATCCTATATCGGAAGACAGAGCTACTAAATTGGCCAGAGTAACTTTCCTGTCCAAGCAAAAATAAAATTAGAAAGTCCTAATTGGAACCAAACACTACTTGCAATATTAATGGGAGTAATGTTTTCTCCCATGTAAGGTCTTCACAGGTGTACAATTGTGAATACAAAAGCTTCATTTTGTTAACATGGAGATTGGGGACTAAGGATTTTGCATGAACTCTACTGGGTGGTCCTACAGGCTCTTCCTACTTCTGTTCATGTCTTATTTCATGAACCAGCAAACAATTTTCGTATTTTCAGGTATTTAGTACATTTTTCTAGCAGCAAACAAGATGCATGGACTTGGAAGGGAACTAGGAGGTCTCGTGAAGATGAAGCTCTCTGCTTGCATATTTCCAGTGACAAGACATTTGATGTTTCTCAAGGGAGCAGAGGCTTGTTATAGAGTAGACAGCAAGTGTCTTACTGTGCAGCCACCCACCCACCCATCCATCCATTCATCAGATATTTATTCCTTACTGGGCTGGGCAGTGAAATCACTTCTCCTTGAGATTATCTCATCAGTTTGATGACTAACTCCCTGATCACCCCACCTAGATAGAGAAGAGAACAAAAGAACAGGGTTTGTAAAAATGTAACTTTTCTTAGTACAAAAATAATACAGTGGGGCCTTGACTTACGAGTGTCCCAACTAACGAGTTTTTTGAGATACGAGTCATCTCTCGGCTGATTTTTTTGCTT